TCCTAGCAAGTCCACCACTGTTAGTGACCATCTCTGCGCAAGGATTGACACCATCAACTTTGTCAACCTCTCCCACCCTCAGAATATTTAGGAGCCCCTGGAAACAAGAAGTTCTTCTTGTGTATCCTTCACATAAAAGACCCAAAGAAAGTGGTTCGATGGAACCTTGACCGACTAAGTACCTGATTGATACCAGATAAACATATTTTAGACCTTCCAGTTCAAATCATGACTAATAGACTATATACACAAAACTGTGTTAACAACATTCTGTTCATTTGAGTAACCACATTGCATATTATAGCAGATATATCAATGGATGCACACGATTTCTTTTTGATGAAATTAAATTTCAGACAGAAAGAAGATGACCCTAGAAAATAATTATTTAGTACTAACAGAAAATAAGAAATTCTATCCATGTTCACACATCCTTGGAGAATAGTACTAAAATTATTATGTAGTACTAATAGAGTCCAATTATGTTGAATCTTAGCCCATGTCAGCACCACTAGCAGAACAAAAATGCAAATGCTGTTGTTCCTATGCAACTGCAAACTCACCGAGATCCTTGAAGCGTCGCATTTTCAGTGCTTATATCAGAAAGTATATCACCATTTATAGGGGGAGCAACAGGAGTTCCCAGTACAACTGAGCCATCATTAACTGCCTCATGCTCTGTTAGCCTTATTCTTTCATCACCAAACCCATACCTTCCTGCTATCCTCCCAGCAGCTGGGGGTTTCGTAGTTTTGTAACTTACGGCTGTTTTATTGATGCATATTGAAGCGGAGTAGCTTAAATGTTCCTGCATAGGAATACATTCAGTCACTCGGATATACCAGCAAGCGAAGTATGGTATGCATATTGTCAAATCTTGAATTATTACGTAAATGGCACAAATAATATTCACACTAATGCAGCTTCACAAACGATACAACACACACACAAAAGAAAAATATTCGCATAAGTATATACACACAAAAACACGTACATTAGACATATATACATATATAAAAGGCAACTAAAGCACACTTATCAAGCAAACCCATATGAGAAGATTGTACGTAATCTGGTCTTAAGATCCTCTCCTGTAAGATAGCATATACAGCCTCATATTTGATGTCATCAACCTCTTGGTTAATTGCAATTTGAATAATAGGAGGGAAGATAGCTGCATCTACCATCCTCTGTTTCATAGAATAAGGCTCATAAATTTTACTCCCAACGTTCCAATTTATGTGAATCTGTTTGACTGGGCACAGAGTTTAAGAAAAAATAAAGACTTTTGGAATTTGTGGTCCAAAACAAATCAAAAAGGGGCCAAAGTATTTGTGTGGTTATAAAAGCTTCTCAATAAGGGTAAAATTGTAAGCTTAAGCTAAATTGTTATCAAATTTAGAAAGGAGTCATTCTTTTTGGAACGGACCAAAAAGGAAATAAGTTCACATAAACTGAAACAAAGTGAGTAGTTAATAGTATTCCTACACAATTTCTCAAAGAATATTCTACAATAAGTAGAGTTTTACAGAATGCTCAGGCTCAAGTTTGTTTGACTGAACAGACCCTTTCATGGATTGCAGTAAAAAGAACCAAGATAAGAAATAAGAAGTTCACAACTGAACCTGTATCTGACTGCTCCGGTAGCTCGCTATGTTTGTGATGGCACGACAAACACTCCTCAAAGTTAAAGGTCGATTGTCAAAGTTAAAGGTTGAATGAGCGGTTAAGCTTCCCTAGATTCTAGGCATTTTATGCGGTGAGGATTCTAACAGAGACGGAACTGGTTCAAACTTTAAAAGGATAGGTTTTTCTGAAGTTTTTGAACATAGGTAAGACTCTGCTCGTGAATTAAATATTAATATTTCTACCATCAACAAACCTCCTGATCCTCTCTTGATCCGTGGGAACCATCCAAACTGCATGTCGGGCTAACTTAGAGAACCGCCTCTCATACTGCGTCACTGACATCTCCCTCTGACGCAGCTACTCAAACTGCCTAGGCAACTCCTCTCGGTGCGACTGCGGTACGTACTTCTCCAGGAAGAGAACAGAGAACTGCTGCCAAGTGAGGGGCGTTGCACTAATATGCATACTCCTCTCATATGCCTCTCACCAAGTGACCAGAAAACTAAAAGGTGGTAAATGCCACACCACTAGTCTCAAGAATCCCTACTGTCCGAAGCATCCGCTGGTACTTATCTAGGAAACCCTAGGCATCCTCGCCCTCTACACCACTGAATAACGGAGGTTGGAGCCTACCAAACCTCTCAAGTTGACGCTGTTCATCATCCGGCATAACTAGTACTACAAACTCCTGAGCTGGTGCAACCGGCTGAGCTGGAGGTGCCCCCGGTGTCTGTAATCACTGTACTACCTGCTCAGGTGTGCGAGCAATGGGAGTCCGGGTGCCGCCCCCGGCGTGGGAAGTAGCTGAGACCGCCTGAACCAAACCGGTACACACTGATAAGATCTGAGCTAAAGCCTCCTGAAGACCCGGGATCACGATGGGCACAGCTGGTGCCTTAACTGGTGTTGCTGGAGCATGATCCTGAGCTGGGGCAGCTGGTGGATCAACAGGTGCTGCCCTCGCCGCTCTACATCTGCCACGAAATGATATAATTTTACTGAATATCCTCCTTGTGCTATCTTTCCATTTTAATTTGATATATGTCCATCAACTCATATCTCAATTGGATTGTTCAGCACTCTTTACCAAATCATTTTGTTCTTTACAGGGCCCTTCTCTGAAGAGGCCACTAGAAATTGATAAGGTTGCTGGCAGGCTCTACTACCTCTATCCAGATGTGGATATGTTCCCTACTTCCTCCACTTCTATGTCTCATTGTTCTCCTTGTAATAGTTTACATGTTTCTAATTCTGATACTAGTGTTTCTACTTGTAATCAATCTTCTACACTTGTTTCATTACCAGTATCTTCTGATAAGTCCAATCAACTTGCTCATCCTGTTGCAAATGTTTCAACTTGTAATCTGCCATCTTCTATCAATAAAATGGACTTATTTTGGCACCGAAGACTAGGGAACATGCCTTCTAATAGAATGAGATCTATATCATATTTGTCTGATAAAGTATCACCTAAACAATCTTTTCTATGCCCTATATGTCTATTGGTCAGACAATAAAGATTACCTTTCTCTGATAGTGTTATAAACTCTTTTGCTCCTTTCAGTTAATTCACATTGACATTTGGGGTCCATATAACATTAAAACATATAATGGTTTCAGATATTTTATAACACTAGTTGATGATCATACAAGAGTCATTTGGACTCATCTTTTATCATGTAAGAGCAATGCCTTATCTATTCTTAAAGCATTTGTCAACATGGTTAGGGTACAATTTCAGTTATCTGTTCAAGCTTTTAGATCTGATAATGCCTTTGAACTTGGTAGTAGTTCTGAGGCCATTATGTTTTTGTCTAGCCAAGGAATCTTACATCAAACTACAATACCTCAACATAATGCAGTTGTAGAAAGAAAAGACAAGCATTTATTAGAAGTTTCTAGGGCCCTCATGTTCCAATCTAATTTTCCTATCAAATATTGGGGTGATTGTATGTTGACTGCAACCTACCTCATAAACAGAATGCCCTCAGATGTACTTCAGAGTGTTTCTCCTTATGAGAAACTTCATCATACTACTCCAACCTATGATCATCTAAAATCTTTTGGTTGCTTATTTTTTGCCACTTCTCCTAAAGTTGGTAGAAATAAGTTTCAATCCAGGTCTATTACTTCTGTTTTTCTGGGATATCCATGTGGTAAAAAGGGATATAAACTCCTCAATCTTAACAATCATGATTGCCATATTTTTCTCAAGGGATGTAGTATTTCAGGAGCATGTTTTCCCTTATAAATCCTCTTCTCCTTCCATGTTTCTTTCTCCCTTAGACTTTGTGGATCCTATTTCTCCACAAACTTCTGTCTTTGCTCCTAATTCTCCCAATATTCCTACTTTTCCTCACACTCCTTTTCCTAATACTTCTCCTCTTCCTAGTACTGCTAGTCCTAATAATCTTTCTCCCGACACTTCACTTTCTGATTCCACTAGTCCTACTTCTATTTTTCCAATTGAACCTACATCTCCTTCTCCTCCTTCTTTGAGGAAATCTACCAGTACTATACAACAACCCACTTACCTTAAAGATTATCTTTATTCTTATGTTCAACTCCCTGATCCACTTTTATCCTCCTCCAAGGTTTCGTCTAGTGATATACAAGTGCATGAGCCTCAGTTTTACTAGCAGGCAGCTTTACAAACTGCATGGCAAGAGGCAGTGCTAAAGGAATTTCAGGCACTTGAGGCAAACCAGACTTGGGATGTTGTACCTATCCCACCTCACAAGAAGGCTATCCCTTATGAGTAGGTGTACAAGATTAAACACTGAGCTGATGTCTCCATTAAGAGGTATAAAGCCAGGTTGGTGATTAGAGGGGACACACAAAAGGAGGGCATTGACTTTACTGAAATTTTCTCCCTTGTTGTCAAGTTCACCACCATCAAGTGTTTGCTCACTCTTGCTATTAAATGTGGGTGGACTTTCTTCCAGCTTGATGTCAACAATGCTTTCCTCCATGGTGATCTCCATGAGAAGGTTTATATGAAGGTTCCCCCTGGCCTTGAGGTGTGTCCTTCTCCTAATTCTGGTCCTTCTGGTCCCTTAGTCTACAAACTCAAGAAGTCACTTTATGGCCTTAGGCAAGCCTCCAGGCAGTGGTTTTCAAAGCTGTCTGAAGCTCTGCATTCCAAAGGCTACATTACTATTTTGAATGACTCTACCCTATTCACTAAGTTTTCTTCAAGCTCTCAAGTTGTCTTAGCTGTCTATATTGATGATATCCTACTAGCTGTTAATGATGTTGTAGAAATGGAGTCTTTAAAGTCCTTTCTAGATGCACAATTCAAAATAAAGGACTTGGGGTCAGTCCACTACTTCCTAGGTTTGGAGATATCTTCACATCCTCAAGGTTAAATCATGAGCCAACACAAGTTCACTAGTGATCTTCTCTCTGAATTTAATTGCCAACGCTTCTCCCCTGTGATGACTCCCTTGGATCCCTCTGTTAAGCTTGCCTTGAATATGGATGCTCCTATTTCTGACCTCAGCTTGTACAGAATATTAATTGGGAAGCTCAACTTCCTTCAACACAATAGGCCTGATATTTCATTCTCAGTACAATATCTGAGTCAATTCCTCCAAAAGCCAAAAATGCCTCAGATGCTATCTGCTATACATGTACTCAGGTATTTGTTGAATGACCCTGCCCAAGGTATCCTCCTCTACAACTCTTCTGATTTCTCTTTGCAAGCCTACTGTGACTCTGATTGGGCAACCTACTCTATCTCTTGCAAGTCCGTGACCGTCTATTACATCACTCTTTGAGGGAGTCCTATTTCTTGGAAGAGTAGGAAATATCCCACTATCTCTCTTTCTTCATCAGAAGCCGAATACAGGGCTCTTCGCAAAGTTACAGCTGAAGTCACTTGGCTAACAAGACTTTTGGGTCCTCTTGGTTTGAATGTTTCAAGCCCTGTTCCCATATTTTGTGACAGCCCGACAACTTTACACATTGCTAAAAATCCAATTTTCCATGAGCGCATGAAGAACATCAAAATTGACTGTCATTATGTGCTCATTTGCATGTCTTCTAGTTTGATTTCCTTGTAGTATGTCTCCAGTTCACAACAACTAGCTGATATTATGACTAAGGCCCTTCTGGTCCTCTACATCATGGGATTTTATGCAAGTTTGTTGTGTTCTCACCCTCCAGCTTGAGGGGGGAGGGGTGTTAGCCCAGATCTGCCTCCGGCCCAAGGTGATAAAGGAAAACAATAGGCCCATTAAGAGAATCAGCCCATTTTTCAGTTTTCTTGTACTCTTTGTATTGTAGACTAGATATATTATTTCCTTACTTTTTAGTTCAATTAAGAATATGTATATAGAGGCCCACACAGACAAGAAATAAACAGATTGGTCAAAACAAAAGGGACCGACTGATTTTCTCATTTCATTTTCTCTCTTCTTCTCTCTTCATCTATGGCTGACTTCTCCATGAAACCTCCATAGCCTGTACATAATTTAGGTTAACATCTACATATATAAAATGCAACTAAAGCACATTTATTAAGCAATAGAAAATATTTTAATGAAAATATTGTACCTAATTTGGTCTTGAGATCCTCTCATGGCAGCACTTGAGATACATATACAACATCATATTTGATGTCATCAATCTCTTGGTTAATCACAATTTGAATAATTGGAGGGAAGATAGCTGCATCTACCATCCTCTGTTTCATAGAATAAGGTTCATAAATTTTACTCCCTACGTTCTAATTTATGTGAACCTGTTTGATTGCCCACAAAGTTTAAGAAAAAATGAAGACTTTTTTAAATTTATGGTCCTAAACAAGTTAAAAAGGGGCCCACAATATTTGTGTGGTTATAAAAGCTTCTCATTAAGGGTATAATTGTATGTTTAAGCTAAATTATTTTCAAATTTAGAAAGGGATCATTACTTTTGGAACGACCCAAAAAGGAAACATGTTCACATAAACTGGAACATTCCTACACAATGTCTCAAAAAATATTCTACAACAAGTAGAGTTTTACAGAATGTTGAGGCTCAAGATAGTTTGTGTCACGACCCAAAATCCACCAGTCGTGATGGCACCTAACCCAACTCGCTAGGTAAGCTAATTAACAATTATCCAATTTCATTTTGACTTAATAAAACAATTAAACAAGAGTATTATCTAAATCTTATACATTTCCCAAGAACTGATAGTACAAATCATGAGCTTCTACGAATGGAGTTTACAAAGCAACAATGAAACAATTACACAGTCTATTTGAAAAGTACATAAATAAAATTTTATAGTCTAATGCTACCGTGAATAAGAGACAACTACAGTAGGAACGTAGGTACACCTTCAAATCCAGCAATCATCGAACGTAGAAACATCGGCATCCGGGATCTGCACGCACTGTAACAAACCTAACCTCAGGTTGAAAGTAGTGACGAGCTAATACAAGATCGGGTCCAAAGCCAATATTTCCACAACAGTTCATAACAACATAAATGCAAGTATAAAAGAGATATCTCAAAAGTAAAATACTCAGCTCATTCACCGTTCCAGAAAATGGTCATGCTTTTCAAATATTTCAGTGAAAAAAAATCCCAGATCTCTTACCGAAAATGCCAAAAGTACAAGTAAGTTTGAAAACTGTAATTTTCCAAATATCTATTCCACAGTAAATAAAATGTTTCATTTTCTTTCCAAATAACAAGTATAAAGTACCTATCCAAACCCATATATCAATGTATATAATAAGTCATATATGACGTGATACTATATAACATGAGCAAGAAGGCATCTCTATGCTGTATGTCATGTATGCATATGAATGCCATGTATCTCAGAGATGAAACATGTACTCACGCTCTCAGAGTACTCAATCTTATTACCTTGCTCCTCTCTTACTAAGCTCAATACTCAGCGTACTAAATCACTCAGCGTTGTATAAGTACTGTTATGGCGTGCAACCTGATCCATATATATAGTCGATTGTGCTCACTGAGGGTGTACAAACTTTGAAGGGACTCCTACAGCCCAAGAGCTATATCGCTGCGGCGTGCAGCCCGATCCATATATCGCTGCCACATACATCCCGATCCATATATATATATATATATCCTCACAATCAGGCTTTCAGCCTCACTCGGTCATCACTCTCTCCAGACTCGCTCACGGGCGCAAAATGTCATAAAACTAGCCCGACAATAATGATATAATACACCAACAACAACAGCTGAGACTGAGATACGATATGAATGCATGAATATGACTGAGTACAAAATATCAATGGAAATCAGTGAGATGACAGCAAGAAATAAACACTATAGGTACAAACAATATCTGTATAAAGCCTAAACATGATATTTAGCATGATTGTCAAATCAATTACTTTATCACATGATGAAAACACAAATATCAATGTATATAATAAGTCATGAATGACGTGATACTATATAGCATGAGGAAGAAGGCATTTCTGTGTCTGTATGTCATGTATGCATGTGAATGCCATGTATCTCAAAGATGAAACATGTACTCACACTCTCAGAGTACTCAATCTCATTACCATACATCCTCTCTTATTAAGCTCAATACTTATATATAATTGACTGCGCTCACTAGGGGTACATGTCACGACCCTAAACCCGGACCCGGTCGTGATGGCGCCTCTCATGAAAACAAGGCCAGCCGACACTATCCCATTTCAGTGTTAAACAATTAAATAGTAAGAATTAAGTTTAAAACGTAATAAATAACCCCAAGTAAGCAGTGAATAGTACAATGCGGAAGTAAAACCAACACAGCCCGATACCGGAGTGTCACTAGTCATGAGCATCTACAATCCGGATGATACAAGAAAGGTCTACATAGTCTCTTACAAATCTAAAAAAGAGAAAGGTAAGATAAAGGAAGAAGCTCCGGGCTGTGAACGCTGGCAGCTACCTACACAATCTTCGAATCCGCCTGAACTTGAAAGATCAACAATCATTAGCGGGATCAGCAACGCCTGAATCTGCACACGAGGTGCAGGGAGTAAAGTAAGTACTCCAACTCAATGAGTAATAATCATAAATAAAGACTAAAATCAAGAAACCACGTAAGGCACATTATAGTCTATAAGGAAACAGTAAAGATGTGTAAAATTACTGAGTTCAGTTTAAAACTTCATAAAATACCTTTTTAACAATTAAACAAGCAAATGACAGACAAATAGGAATGATAAACACATAAAGGATCGCCCCTCGGGCAATATCATAGAACAACACCAGCCCATCGGGCAATATATCACATCACAATAGGTATCGGCGCTCACTGGGGGTATGCAGACTCCTGGAGGGACCCCTTACAGCCCAAGCGCAATATCAAGCTATCTTGTGGCATCATCACTAGGCCCTCGGCCTCATATCAACAAGCCACCTCGTGGTCTACAAATCTCAAGCCCTCGGCCTCATAATTATAATCAGTGTTTCCTCACAACATAGGCCCTCGACCTTACTCATTCAAAATCTCATAGCCACTCGTGCAACAGTAAAACATAGAGCTCAACCCAAAATATCATTTAAAATATCATTTAAGTGTTAAAGCAGAGTAACCATGGCTGATTTATGAAAAACAGTAGAATATAGCATGACTGAGTTCAAGTATAAAGTCAAAACAGTGAGGAAATATCAATAAAAATCCCCTAAGGGTTCAAATAGTTGGCACAAATCCCAAATATGGCATTCATCCCAAAACATGATGATAACAATTAGTTTTAAGTCAAATACACGGTAAAACAGTCATTCGGGATGGACTAAGTCACAATCCCCAATAGTGCACGACGCCATGCTCGTCATCTAGCGTGTGCATCACCTCAATATAGCACAACGTGTGCAATCTGGGGTTTCATACCCTTAGGACATCATTTACAATCATTACTCACTTCAATCCGATCCAAATCTAGCCTGTGACGCCTTTGCCCCTCGAATTGGCCTCCACTCGCGTCTAATCTATCAAAAATAAGAACCACAACGTCAAAATATGCTAAGGGAACGAAGCCCAAGCGAAAATAATCAGTATACAACCTAAATCCCGAAATTACTAAAACCTGACCCCCGTGCCCACGTCTCGGAATTCGATAAAATTCACATCAATAGATTCCTCATCTACCCACGAGTTCATACATATCAAAAGCACCAAAATCCGACCTTAAATGTTCCCTCAAATCCTTAAGTATAGGTTTCTAATACCAAGCCCTAGTTTTCCCAATTTTAACCCTAAAATTCCATTAATTATAGCTCTAATCCGTGAAATAATACCATAGGAATGCGTTTTAGGTCCAAAATCCTTATCTCAATGAAGTTCCCTTGAAATCCTTCTTCAAAATTGTCCAAAAAGCTCCAAAGCTGACTTAGAAATGGTGGAATAGCTCAAAAATCGTAAAGGAAACAATTTATATGTTTTGGTCCAAGGATTTCGCATCTGCGGACCAATTCCCGCTTCTGCGGTATCGCTTCTGCAGTCAAGACCACCGCATCTGCGGTCCTCACTTAAGTCCTTATTTCTCCGCATCTGCGATGCTAACTCCGCACCTGCGCGCGGTTACCCAACTGCTTCTGCGGTCACAGCCTTCCCATCTACTTTTTTCTTCTGCGGCCTTCTTTCTCGCATATGCGGAATCGAACCTTCGGTCCCCAATACGCAGGTGTGGAAACAACAGAAGCAGAAAATCTGTAGCTTCACCAAAATTCTAAACTTTTCCGTCAACCATCCGAAATCACCCCGAGGCCCCCGGGACCTCACCCAAAAACACAAACACACCCC